TATAACTTAATATTGTATTAATAACATCAATCAACCTGGCGTTTGGCATACCAGGTACATCTCAAAGAAGTAAATAGGCATTAATTTAGAACTTCACATTACAAAAGAGAAGTCTATGTGATATTTATGGCACTAATTTTTGCACACAGGGTACAGACTAAGGGTGATTATTTTAGGCAAAAACCCAGGCGTTGTCTCAACTTCTTCTAATACAAATGACAAGAGATTAAATCAACAAAGATTAGATCAATAGATGAACATGACTATGGTCCGTTAAAAATAAGAAACGTAGACGGCGGTGACCAGTTTTCGACGGCGGCGGAGAGATGTTTCCACCACCGTGCATCTATTTTACCGACGGCGACCGCTGACATACGACCGTTGTCGACGTATTAACGTTCGTTGTAGTCTGTAGAATTAGGTCTAATTCGGAATTCGGACTCATTGTGTTCCGACTGTTTTTAGCGTTACGTGTGTTCACAATTTTATTTCTACAGACATTTTTTTTTCATCATGAACGATTTGGGTGATATTTCTGATCCAGATGAATTGTCTACTATTTCTCCAAAACGAAACAATCCTAAGGAAAAGTAAGTACAAMATTTTTCATATTTTATATTCTTCGTCGATGTATATTACATAAATAATAATAATTGTATTATGTGTCATTTTGCTTATTAAATAATTATTATACACCAGTTGTTCATATAGGTTTATAATTTTTTTTTACAGTATATATACAGCCGTCAAAAAATAATGGTCATAAATTTGTACAAAGATATTTTGATGAAATCGCCGGACATCAAGTACGAAGATCTTGTTACTAATTTGTCAAAGGCTTTGGGTTTAGGTCGTGAAACAATTAGTAAGACTATCGCTGAGTACAGACGTACAAATACGGTTTCATCTCCCAACAAAAAGCGTGTTAAGTCGTCTCTCTTCGACAAAATTGTTGATCTGGATCGCAATGGATTACGGCAAAAATTTCATTTATTTTGGTTGCGTCGTGAATTACCTATTATCGACAAAATATTAATTGCAGTAAATGAAGATCCATCGCTTCTTAATTTCAAACGAACTACTTTGTACAGTACCATCAAGAAATTGGATTTCGTGTTCGAAAAAAGAAAAAGGTGCAGTGTGCTAACGGAGAGGGAAGATTTGATTGTTTGGCGCCGCAACTATTAGTACAATAGTCGTAAGTATCGTCAGGAAGGTCGACCAATTTATGAGTGACGAGACGTGGTTGAATGCTGGCAATTGTGTGGACCACGTGTGGAAGGACAATACTGTTCTTTCCAAACACGATGCGTTCAACAAAGGACTAACGACCGGGTCGACCAACCCAACTGGCAAGGGCAAGCGGCTCATAATACTCCATATTGGTTCGGACAAAGGTTTTTTGCCAGGTGGATTATTATGCTTTGAATCAAAAAAAAAATAGCGCCGATTATCACGATGAGATGAATGGTGATAATTTCAAGGAATGATTTGAGGCTACTCTACCTCGACTTGAACCTAATGCCATTATTGTAATGGACAACGCACCATACCATTCCGTCAAATTGGAAAAATATCCAAGTACGCGTTGGAATAAAGCCCAATTATCGGAGTGGCTTCAATCAAAAGGTGTTATTCTTAACAGACCATTTTTGAAGCATGAACTGATGGCCAAAGTACGCGAAATACCACGTAATAAATCTTACGTAATCGATAAAATTGCAGAAGACACAGGTCACACCGTACTCCGATTACCACCCTATCATTGCGAATTTAATCCAATTAAATTGGCATGGGCTATGGTAAAAGGTTACGCGAAACGCGAAAACACAACGTTTAAGATCGACGACGTTCGTCAACTTCTTCATACGGCAATTGAAAGGGTGACATCAGAAAATTGGCAAAATTTCATCAAACATGTTATCGAAGAAGAAGAGAAAATTTGAAAGATAAAAATTTCGACGATATCATGGACGAATTAATTGGTCAAATGGAACCTTGTGTTTTAACAATAACGGGAGACACTGATTCTGATTCTGATTAATTTATTTTTTATGTTTTTATATTTTTTTTATGACTGACTATTTTTTTTTTTTAATTTCTGTTTATCTTTTTATGACTTGTAATAAATAATTATAATGTTTAAATTTGCTTTTATATTTTACGTTTTTACGTAATATACCTGGTAATAACTCGAAAAAAAAATTAGTTTAAAAAAATGGTTTCATTATAATAATAAAAAGGTTGTATGCTGCGCTGATAACGGTAAATATGGCCCAACGCAGCGCCGCCGTGCCGGTTCCGCGCCGAATGCTACAAAATAGGAAACAAAGCATTTTAAGTTATTTGTTCGCGTCACTAGTCAACAATAGAATGAGGAGACGCTCTCGCTGGCGACAGTGTCAAAGCTCGACATTCGTAGTGAGGCCACGCCCATGCGCAGTAGTCGTCCGCCGTCTACGTTTCTTATTTTGAACAGACTATATCTACTTCCTTCGTGGATTGATGATTTATCATATAGTGGCCTGATAGTCCATAGTATTAACTTTAAAAAACACATTTTTAGAGCTGAAAGAATTTTAAAAAAATTACCAAGCAGAAAACCCCTAAAGTACCAGGTGTAGTAAAACAACTTTTACATAAAATAATGAATAGAATGGATATTGAAGAAAAGTATAGACCAGTTAAACATACATTTGTAAGGCAAAGGATCTTTATTCGTATGAAATATGCAAATAAAAATCATCAAATTCTAGTTTCAAAAAGGAAAGCAAAATTACAATT